TATATATATATATATAACTATCTCTTTTGTACCACCATATTTATGAAACTGACTGATATATTTCTGATCTGATTCAATTCTGAACATTTAAGAGTATTTCTAGAAAGTATCATTCTCATTTACCACTCCATTTCATGAATTCTTTCTGATCCAAGTAATCTTTATCAAAATCAAAGCTTTGTAGGAAGTTATGATTTTCCCCCTTTAAAGGACGATCAGTTAAAATGTCATTGAAGATTTCACAAAGTTTTCCATAGTGATAACTTGGAGGCTTGTAGACCGTGGCAGGATAAACACCTGAAGAATAATTCTCATCTGAAATAAAATATAGAGATACTTCATTTATGGCAACTTTTACTCTTTTTTTTTCAAAATATAACACTTCTGGATTAGTGAGGCTTTTTTTAATGTAGCACATTCCATTGAAAATAATGAATATGCCCTGCAAACACAGAGCTGAGTCATAGAAGCTTAAAAATGAGCTCCACTCCTATCACAGGCTCTGCCTGCTAATTAGTCTTTTCTCCAGCACTGATTCCAGATGGAAATATTGTATGAGCAGGAAAGTAAACTATAAATCAAAGTTGTGCATAATACTAAGCAAACAGCTCATTATTATAATTCCTCAACCATCAAGCCCTAAAGAATAGCCACTTGTGCAATTTTCTTCAAATGTGTCATTGTTTACAGCTGTAATTTTGGGCTAAGAGGTGACAGTTTCACTGTTGGTTATAAGCAAGCACAAAGAAATTTCATGTGTCGACTGAGGAGAAATTTAAGGAATATATGACATAATCCAAAGATTTCATATATTCACATTTCTTTTTCATTATTATTCAATGCACCTATTGCAAAGGTTACAATGATCTATATCCAATACATAACCTAAAAATGTCATTTTACTTAAATATCAAAATATTGGTAAATCAGAACAAGTTCCTATTTTCTTAACTATCTATAATTTTTGAATAATAGATTATAATAGCTACAATCATCCCACAATTAGTTCCTATCTGATTGAGTAGGTGACCAGAAAAAGAAGATAGAGCCTGTCTCTCTTTTATTTTACTTTAAAAACAAATTTTTAAAAACTCTGGCTAAGCAAAGACTAAAATAGTCTTATGTTTTATTGACTAAAATTCTTACGCTTTATTGACATGTCTGTCACCCATCGTTTCCAGAATTCTTCTGGGGTTGTGGTCCAGTACAAACAATCCAGGAGATTTGGACTGAAAATGTTAGTCCAGATACCTACAAGATCAACCACATTGAAGACATTGCATTAACTCAAATTATAATCCATCTCAAATGTATAAGTTAATTAGACTGAGAAACTGTGATAAATATTTATTACTGCCAGCTAATTAAATACTGTAGACACAATTTAGCACAATTTAGCATCACAGTATTAACAAAACCATTATGGCTGATAAGAGATTCTGGTGATTGTGCCATATCCATTGTTAATACATTAACAAAGCACAGGTATTGAGTTTAGACAACACACTATAAATAAATAATAAATAAATAAATAAATAAATAAATAAATAAATAAATAAATAAATAAATAAATAAATAAATAAATAAA